GGATTATGTCCCTTCTGTTTCTTCGGAGTCTTTTTCCCAGACAGTATCCAGTGTGGTCTCAATTTATCCCCTCTACCCCAGAAACAGTTTCTGACACTACAGTGGCGGCTTTCCCTGCTACTGAAGGTAGGGGCTTTTTGTCCATTTCTGTTTTCAGGGTCTGCGTGGTTTGCGTACAGACTGAAAATCTAACAAGGGAGGTTTTTGCCATTTCAAAACTCCCATTAGGACAGATGTTTTGCCTCATCAGGCCTTCACCTGGCCCAGTTCCCCAGTGGGTTGGTTGCGTTTGCTTGTCTGGGTGCTCAAGGACAGAGCTTATGCCAGAGGCAATCACCCCTCAGGGCTATACTCCCTCATCTCAGGGAGTCAGTTGAAACAAAGCTTTTCTCAAAGAGGTGCTTTCTCTGACAGAAAACTTTACTCCTGGATAGTTCTGTTCTGCCGTGGCTGGGCTCTTTCCCCAGACAGCGTTCTGACTCAGCAGCACAACTGCTTCAGACACAGTTCAGCTTTACTGTTTTCCCAGAAAGGTCCTTTCTCTGATAGGAAAGCTTTTTCTCAGATTTCTTTTTGCAGCTATGGACCTATCAACTCGGGACTTGTAGGAAAGCGGGCAACTGTGCTGTTCCCACTGGCTTTAGTTTTGTTTGTTTATTAGCAATCTTCCCCTGGGTCCTGAACCTCCCTGCCTCAGCTCTGTGCTCCAGGAAGTTTACCACTGCAGGAACCCTAATATCCCCGAAATGCACTCCAACTCAGAGACGCTGGCCAGTCACCTCTGGGTTTTTTGGTCGAGAATATAATGCTAACAGTTTGCATTGCTTCAGGGGATCTTTGCATTAGGACGATTAGGAGCATGTTTTCATTCTGAAAAGCTCACTCAGAAACAAAACCATTAATGCCTCAGCTTGGCTGTAACTGAAAAGCTTGGCTTTTTTGCTTTTCCTGCCCTTTTGGGTTCTCTGTAGCTCTTCACCCACACTCTCCCAAGCGTTTCCCTCAGGGTACTCTGACCCACTGTTTTTTACTAGCATGAAGAGACAGCTTAGAAGAGAGGTTTTTAGGAACTTGTCCCTGCCTCCTGCATTGCAGGGAGGATTTTTAAGGCTTGAAAGTCAGAACTTAGGTTTTGCTGTCTTAAGAGGTTTGTTGTTTTCCCTTAGAGCTAATCACAGGTGGTCCCCATACTAATATCTTCAGGTGATTCTAATTTTTGTCCCTCTGAGAAAGTTAAAGGCTTTAGTTTTTAAGTTTAAGAGAGCTTTTGAGAAAGATTAAGGCTTTTTAGAGAGATTTTTTTCCCCCAAATTTTCCAAGAAAAGCTTTATAGTTTGAGAAAGACCAACTTTTCCCAAAACTTCCCAACTTTAAACTTTGGCTTTTTACACCCCCATTTTTGCCTCAGGGAGAAATCACTTTCTCCTACCGCTTGGACTTAGCATTTCAGCTGTCCCCAGGTCAAAAGCTTCCATAGGAAACTTTTTCTTCCCCATAAGCTCAAAGAGCTTTTTTACTACCCGTAAAGCCCAAAGAAAGATTTTTCCCCCCAGTTTGCATTCATAGCCCCCAAAGTTAGAAAATTGAAGTTTTTCTGTCTCGTTGCCTTATTTTTCCTACACAATCTTACACTTCTAAGTTTTTCCTAAACTATATTACTACCCTATGCCTTATTTTTCACAGATAGAAATTGAGAAAGCGATACAAGATAGAAAATTTTGACAGAAGAGAATTTCGCTGCAGCATCAGACATCCTTCCAGTCCGCTTTCCTTTTCTCTCGAGGATAAAACCCCTGCCTTTCAATATATATAAAAAATATATATTTTTCATAACACCGGCATGCCTTATCCACTGACAGGGCTGACTCAGCACTTTCGCCAAAAACTCTGTAATAAAACTATTATTTTCCTTTATCTTTAGTCCCTATTACTTTGTCTTTAGTCCGTGTTCATTTGTCTTTAGTCCCCCTTTTTTTTAGACCCCCTTTTTATCTTTAGTCCCCTTTTTTTTCTTTTTTCTTTAGTCCCTGTTCATGGCGCCATTCTGTGGGGCGTTTACCCAACCACCCCCACAGTTCCCCAGAGTTTTCTTGAGTGCGAGCAGCAGGAAATATTAGATAGAAGGAATTATTGCGGAGAATATTGCGGAGATAAACAGATAGAAAATAAAGGATAGCCTCGAGAGGGCCTGGAACCTATTCCAACGGGCCCCGACTGTCTCTGCCCCAGGGTTTTTATAGAGACGCCAAGGGGTGGAGCAAAAGACCTCCTCCCCCAGCACAGTCAAGTGCAGACCATCCCAGACACCTGCACTTAGGCCTGTGGTCCTAATCATCCTCTATGTGGACCTGCTGGGTAAAGCCATGAGGAACCCGAGAACAGGCTCCCACACCAGAGGCAAAAGATAGACGGGATAATTTAAAGTTAACAAAAGCTGGCTAAAAACAAGCCAAGCTAAGGCCAAGCATTCACTCATAAGAAAGAATAAATCTCCATGTGTGATTACTGGGGAGCTGGGTGGCAGGTACGCAATGAGTAAAGAGCCAAAAGAATGGGGAAAAACAAAACAAAACAAAAAACCTACCATTCTTTTTATATAAGATTCTACAATAAGCTGGGTACGCGGACGCACACCTGCAAGTCCATCACCAGGGAGACCGCAGGAGGTGGTCACAAGTTAAAGCCAGCCTGGACTACGGAGCAAGGCTCTACCACAAATAAACAACAAACTCCAGAACAGGCAAAGTGGCTTATTTTGACAGAAATCAAATCAGCAGGTGCTTCACGGAGAGGAGAGAGAGAAAGAGAGAGAGGAGAAGGAGAGAACTCCCTAAAGTCGGGGGTTATGATGAAATGCACTGCTTTACGAGCATATTAAAAATCTGAGCATTCACTCTTTCTAAATTGTACTCAAAAGGGATTTTCCAGTGCTGTGGGAATGGCTCAGTGGTAAAATGTATGCCTGGTACTCAGGAGGCCCTGGAGCCAATCCCAGAAAGGAGGACAGGGCTGAAGAGATGGCTCAGGGGTTAAGAGAGCACACTGTTCTTGCAGAGTGCACCCATGCTGGGCAGCTCAAATCAGCCCACAACTCCAGCTCCCAGGGATCAAAGCCCTTTCTGACCTCCTTGGGAACTTGTACACAAACACGCACACTCATAGTCACACAAATACACGTAACTGAAAATAAATTTTTTTTTTTTTTTTTTTACAAAAAGGGAATCAGAGAGCAATGAATAAGAGTCCTTCAGAAGAGTTTCTGTAGCATTAACCAAAATTGGGGAAGTAGAAAAAGGAGAGTCATTTGGGAGTGAAGATTTGTTATCCAGACAACAGAATTACATCCAGATAAACCTGTCATAGTTGAAAATACCTAGGTAGTCTGGTGGTGGTGGTGGTGCACACCTTTAATCCCAGAACTCAGGAGGCAGAGACAGGAGGATCTCTGTGAGTCTGAGGCCAGCCTGGTCTACAGAGTGAGTCCCCCGGACAGCCAGGGCTACACAAAGAAATCCTATTTCAAAATAAATAAATTAGATAGAGAAGTAGATAGACAGTTGTAGAATAATCTTTTTGTACACTATGAAGATGTGTCTTGGCCAAGGTGCCTTCTTATTGGTTTAATAAAAAATTGGTTTAACAGTCATTAGCTAGGCAGGAAGTATAGGCGAGAGAGCCAGACAGGACACTGGGAAGAAGAAAGGCAGAGTCACCAGGAGATGCAGAGGGAACAAGACATGCTAGAGGACAGATAAAGGCCACAAGCCATGTGGCAATACGTAGATTAATAGAAATGGATTAAAGTTGTAAGACCTAGTTAGTAACAAGCCTAAGCTATGGCTGATCTTTTATAATTAATAAGTCTCGGTATCACTATTGAGGAGCTGGCAGTCCCCGACGAAAATAAATAAAACCCAAAAGGAAAAGAAAAAAAAAATACCCCAGGTAAAAATGTATTAAATACATCTATCCTACCAGACACCACAGCTTAGCAATACAGCATATTGCACATGGCTCAACCTCTCAGAGATGCAGGACCACTGGGTACTGCCCTTCTTTACAACTGCCAGGCATCTCAAAGCAGTCCTACTATGCATCCCTCTTCCTTGAAAAGATCAAAATTCAAAGTATGGTTTCTACCAAGTTGTGTATCATTTCCACATCCACCTAAAATCATAAGCTGAATCTTCTCAAGCTGTACACTGGCAACAGACACCGAGGAAGCAAGAGTTGTCAATGGTAGCTGTAAAAGCACAGCCGAGGGCAGAGCCTGGGGTGAAGCATTTCAGGGAGCCAACACAACTCAGACAAGGAGAGCAATAAGTACAGGACCAAGATGCAGGTTCCAGGAATAAGCATTAAGAATAAAATACCATCCGGGCAGATGGTGGCGCACGCCTTTAATCCCAGCACTTGGGAGGCAGAGCCAGGCGGATCTCTGTGAGGTCAAGGCCAGCCTGGTCTCCAAAGCGAGTTCCAGGAAAGGCGCAAAGCTACACAGAGAAACCCTGTCTTGAAAAAACCAAAAAAAACCCCAGAAAACCAAAAAAAAATAAAAGAATAAAATTCCATCCGGGCAGTGGTGGCGCACGCCTTTAATCCCAACACTTGGGAGGCAGAGGCAGGCGGACTTCCGTGAGTTTGAGGCCAGCCTGGTCTACAGAGTGAGTTCCAGGACAGCCAAGGCTACACAGAGAAACCTTGTCTCCAAAAATTAAGAGAGAGAGAGAGAGAGAGAGAATAAAATATCACCGGGCACATGCTCTAATCCCAGCACTTGTGAGGCAAAAGCAGACAGATCTCTGTGAGTTCAAGGCCAGCTGGGCCTACAGAGTGAGTTCCAGGACAGCCAGGGCTTGAAAACCTAAATAAATCTTTAAAAAAAAAAAAAAAAAAAAGCTTGCAATCAGAGTATTCCTTAGGGCCTTCTGCTGCTTCACACCCATGCTCCCTGCCGCAGCTGGGGCCAACAAGTTGGATCAAACCACTCTACTACTTACCGTTTCTGTTGCTGAAGGGTAGTGTTACAGGCTGATTCCTGCTGTGCCAAAGCTCCCTGAAGCGTGGACATGATCCGGCCATGCCGTAAGGGTTGCACGTTCTCTTTACTCAGCTCCCACTCATCTCCCTCCAGGGACATGGCTTCACTGTGAACAAGGAACAGAGGTGACCCTGACACAACATGGTTACAGTACTAGACTGTGTCCCCGTCTTTGGACAGGTGAGCTTTTGCGACCTTCGGGGTGGAGACAGAGAGTTGGGACACTGGTAGCATTATTACTCTCTTAAGCCTCTGAGCCCTACCGCTTGGTTTCCAAGTTTACGCCAACAGAAGAGAGAACTTGGCAAGGGTGTTGTTCACAATATTATACAAACAAAATCAAAGCCAGGAAAAGTAATTTTTAAAAGCATCATAAATTTAGCAAAGTAGTTTTTTTTTTTAAAGATAGCAGTTTTATATCTAACATGGGACATGGAACAATCTGGTTTAATTCAAAATTAGTTTTAGTCAGACTAATATGCCATTTTTAATTTCAATTTCAAACAGACATAAGCCGGGCAGTGGTGGTCACGTCTTTAATCCCAGCACTTGGGAGGCAGAGGCAGGCAAATCTCTGTGAGTTGACGTCAGAACTTAAGCTTTGCAAGGGTTGGAATTTTGTGTCTTTTATGGTCCACCTTCAGGGTTCATGTGGTGGTCAATAAATTCTGTCGCATGAATGGAAGCTTATAACATGGCAATGACCCAGCTATCATGGATTCCATAATTCAAATGCATATTAAATTCTAACCTAAAAAAAGTGTTCTGTATTTTTATATATGCGGAAAAGCAGCAAATGTTCTGCTTTTTAGATTCCCTAGGCTACTGGCATAATGAAACACCTATTAGTTGAAAGCAGTTACTTTACAAATAACTTGAATTCTTCCAGAACTCCATAATGCAGCATTAGTATCTGCATGACCCCCATGTAAGGCATGTTCAAGGTCAAAAAAAAAGAAAGAAAGAAAGAAAGAAAGAAAAAGAAAAAGAAAAACCGACTGAAGTGAGTTGCAGTCTCAGATCTCAAGGCAAATTCCAAGCTCTCCCAGTTTAGCCCCGCAGCTGGATGCAGGGCTCCATGCCATCAGGAAGGGGGCTCGGGAGAGCTTGCTCTTTCCCGACCTCGGCGATGCTCTCCTCGCCCACCCAACACCCAGCTGCAGCAGCTTGGCTCCGGCCTCACCTCGCTGCAAGCCCTTCCTTCCTCGCCGCCGCCATCCTGCATTCCCGATTCTTGCTCTCGCCCGTCCGCAGACCTTTTTCTTCCTCCGGGTGCCGACTGTCTGAGCTTCCTTCCTCAACCTGCAGCTGGCCCTGGAGTTGCGGAGACCGTCTCCCCGTGCTCCTAGACAAAAGCATGCACCCAACGTCTTCCTAAAGCAGCCGCCTCACGCCCCATCACGCCTAAGCCGCCAAGTTTCAAATTTAACGGTCCCTCGCCGCAGACGTAGCCACGCCCCCCGTACCTCTCTCCCAAAGCATTCTGGGGATTGTAGTTTATCCCGGGTTTAAGCCTGCGCTGCGCTGTGCATAATGGGAGCTGTAGTTCCGGGGTTAAGGTACTGGAACCAATGGCTTTACAGGCGCAGCGGCAGGCTCAGACACTAAGAATTCTCTGCAGGTTCGCTCTGAGTTTCCGTACTAAGGCAAGTATTCGAATCCAACGAGAGACACCTTAAGAACAAGGGTTTCTTTGATGTTTTGAGTGTTATGACATGTCTTTGAGTACATGTGCCTGGCCTGGCTCTTCTAGGTTGCTCAGACCAAGTAATTATGCTCCCCAAGGTCTTGCTGTCTGCCCTGGGATCCTTAGGCCACTCTCACCCAGCTGTTTCCAGTCGCACTCTTGTCTTTTAAAAAGTTAGATTCTAGCTGTCATTTTTTCTCTTCCACCAGTACTGGGTTAGCGCTGCACTTCCTGTCCCGGAGCAAGCCCTTTTACCTCTACAACTTCTCAGCTTCGACCACTTCCTTTAAACGATCTTGGGAAGTGTACCATGTGTTCTTTCATACCGCCTAGCCAGATGTCCTGTAAACTACAATGTAAGAATACAACAAGGCTAAGTCCCTTACTTATTTCCCTGGGGCTAAAGGTCAGGCTCGGTGGGACAAGCCTGTATCTCAGCTACTCAGGAGACTGAGATACAAGGATCAGGAGTTCAAGACCGTTCAAAGAAGACCTTATTTCAAAATAAAAAGTTGGGGGGTTTTGTTTGTTTGTTTTTAAGGATGGTGAGAGAGAGTGGCTCAGTGGAGATCACCTGTCTAGCTTGTATCAAGGCCCTGAGGTACCAGGACCACACACACACACACACACACACACACACACACACACACACAAAGAAGAAGAAGAAGAAGAAGAAGAAGAAGAAGAAGAAGAAGAAGAAGAAGAAGAAGAAGAAGAAGAGAGAGAATGAAAACGAGAGTAAGAACTTGGAACATGAAATCTTGTTAGGCTGGACTATAGTAGGATAGGACCCGCGGTGGTTTGAATGAGAACGCTCCCCATAGGCTCATGTGTTTGAACATTGGTCCCCTGTTTCTGGAACTGTTTGGGAAGGGTTAGGAGGTGTGACCCTGTTGGAGGAGGTGTGTCACTTGGGGCTGGGCTTTGAGGTTTGAAAAGCCCATACCATTTTACACATTTTTAGTGGACAAAGGCTAAGACAAAGACTCCGCTGGAGAGCCTCAGTGTTCTGAGCAATGGTTGGGACAGAGAAGACGAGATCAGGGGACTAGACAGAGTTTTTGCCATCTAAGAACTTAAGGGAGGGGACAAACAAACAAGCGATGTGAGTGCACTGGTACCAAGCGAGGAGCAGATAAACCAGGGGCTCACAGGAGTGCATAGGAGCTTCCAACGAGGCTGTGGAGTAGAAAGGGAAGCTGTGGATTTCTCTGCAGAAGCCAGTGAACCTGAAGGGGAAGGATGAGTTGGCACAGCCTGCTGATCAGAACAAACCAAGTTCTGTAGCAACTGAAGTGCGTCTGTGGTGGATTCCCACCTCCTCTCCTAGTCACTGCTGTCCAGGTAGTTTCCCACTCGGGTCTCACCTTTTGGACCTCCATGCTGCCTCACCAAAATGTGCCTGACTTTTGTTCCATTTCCTTTCCTAATCATCATCTAGAATACAGGAGTTAAATGGTGATGAGATGCTCCTGATAGTTAGTGAGGTTCTCCCCCACACTCCCTACCCTCCCACACCCTGAGACAGGGTTTTTCTGTGTAGTTTTGGTGCCTGACCTGGATCTCGCTCACTAGACCAGGCTGGCCTTGAACTCACACCACCGCCACCCGGCGATAGTGTTTTAAGATACTAATAACTGTTATAGGGAACTGGAGATTCAGTGTCTGGTTGTTTCTGAGATACTGGGTTATGTGAACTGCACTCTTGAGGCCTTGATCTGTCAAACTGAACCAGGAATCTCTAAGGTGTCGGTATTCCTGTTGCTCCTGAACCGAACACCACAACTCAACAGCATGAAATGACACAGACTTGTTATCTTCCATCAGATGGATGAGAAGTTTCTCGGGGCTGACAGCCGCATTCGAAGTTGTCTTGTTTTCTGGAGTTGCTGTGAGAGAATGTGCTTCTTCTCTGCCAGTTTTCTAGAGGCTTCCCTGGCATCCCCTGGCTTATGCTTCCCTTTTTCCATCCTCAAAGCCAGGGACCTAGCCTCTCCCTGGCCAGGTTTCATCATTATATGCCTTTTTCTGATCATAGTCAAGGAAGTCTCTGTTTTTAAAGGCTCATGACTAGATGGGGCTCACCTAGACAATTCAGGAGATCCTTTGCATCTCCCGATCCTGAGCCCTCAGCACATCTGACAGGTCCCTTTGGCAATAGAAGGTGACATCGTCACAGGAACCATTTTGAAGGGCCATTATGCTACCTACCTTGGGTTGAAAAAATACATTGTATCTCTAAAATTATTTAATCATAAAGAAACTTTTCCATGCTCTTCTTTCAGGTCAAATTTGGGAATATGTTACTTAATATATTGCCCTCTCTAGGGCTTTTTATATTTTAACAGGAAGGTTTTGTTGTTGTTGTTTTGTTTTTTGTTTGTTTATTTGTTTTGAGACAGGGTTTCTCTGTGTAGCCTTGGCTGTCCTAGAACTTGCTCTATAGACCAGGCTGCTTCTAACTCACAGAGATCTGCCTGCCTCAGCCTCCTGAGTGTTGAGTTTAAAGGTGTGCACCACTACTACCTGGCTAACTAACAGAGTTTTGAGAGAAGAAAATTTATAAAGGAATACATTTCACTGATGGGGCCATGCATAATGGTGTTTGCCTTTAGTCCTGGCATCTGGAGAGCAGAGGTAGGTAGAATTTGTGAGTTTGAGACCAGCCTGGTCTACACAGAGTTCCAAGCTGCATAGTGAAACCCTGTCTCAAATAAATTTTAACTGGTGAGTTTCAGGCAGAATGGCAACTTTTAGCAGTCTGGGACTGTTCTAGCAAGCTCCTCCATTTCTTTCCTTTACTCTCATCAAAGTCCTACCTTCCTACATGAGTGGCTCTTAGATGGACTTAGTGGTTACATATGGTCTCTTGTGCAGTGTGGTGAGGGTGCAATGGCAGATTGCCCCAGTTTTGCCTTGCCTTCGTGGTTGTACCAAATCCAGCTTTGGCATGGCAAATAGTCCAAAGATGGGTGTTCTGGAATAGTATAAGATGTGTTACATTTGTTTATGCTGTGGAACATTTGTTTAATGATGCAAAAATGTGTTGCATTCTTTTGTGTTGCATTTGTTTAGCTCTGTGAAGCTGTGCTACTTTGCCTGTCTAAAAAAAGCAACTGATTGGTCTAATAAAGAGCTGAACAGCCAATAGTGAGGCAGAGAAAGGATGGGCGGGGCTGGGAGGCAGAGAGGATAAATAGAAGGAGAAAAAGGAGGATCAAGGAGGAAGGAGCGAGAACAGGAAGAGAGGACACTAGGGGTCAGCCACCCAGCCACCCAGCCAGCCACAGAATAAAAAGAAATAGAGAAAGGTAAAAGACCAGAGGCAAAAGATGGGATAATTTAAGTTAAAAAAAAAAGCTGGCTAGAAACAAGCTAAGCTAAGACTGGGCAATCATAAGAAAGAATAAGCCTCAATGTATGATTTATTCGGGAGCTGGGTGGTGGGCCCTCCAAAAAATCAAAAGATTAAAAAACAACAACAACTACATTTTGGCATACCAATGTAAGGCTCAAATTACCATAAGGCCTGAGAAAGCTTGAAAAGGAAAAAAAAAAAAGAGGATATAGCTCTTTAAGAGTTTCTGCCTGCTTGTGAGCCCTTGAGCAGCTAGTATGTTAAGTAGGAAGAAAAAAACTAAATAAAAATGCTGGCCACAGTGCAAGCATCAGCATTCTAGAGCTCTAGGAGGGTTGAATTCAGTTCTTCGTCACCTACTTTCTATTGGGTCATGAGCTTTAGGCTTGGCTTTCAGGACCTGAGAAGTGGGTGGGGCCACCCTAGAGCCCCATGGAGAATTCAGGTGTAGCTTAGCAGTTTACAGTTTGCCCACATGGTCAAAAAAACTAGAGATATGCAATAAGAGAGTTCAAGATGGAAAAAACTCTAAACAGGTTCCAGTGTACTTTACAATGTGTGTAGGTTTAAGAAAGAAAAGAAAATGGGTATAGACAGTCACAGAAAGAAATAGTTTTTTTTTTAAAATAAAGTCTTTAAAGAGACAGTAAAAGTATTGTAAAAGAAAAAAAGCCATGTAAAGATGGGAAATGCACAGGGAGTCTGGATCCTGTATAGTATTATATTAATTTTGAATTTTTTGATGGTTGATGGGCAAGAGACAGCTGCTGGGAGACTGGATTATGAACAGGACTGCAAAATTGAACCAACCTAGATACTTTAGGGCTACCTTAACTTTAAAATATAAGTCAAAAAGTGCTTTGGGGAAGAGGTTTTGCTTTTGTTTCCACAGAAAACAAGAGGGTGTGGATTCATTTCAAGTTAATATGGATCAGATTTGATCAAGGAAGACCTCCTGAATCTTGACAGGTGATATAAATCAACAAAGGTTACTGCTGGTCTTCCCAGGACTTGCCTTTTATCTCAGATTTCCTCAGGGACCCCTAAAAATGCCTTCACCCACAGACAACAGGAAGAAGTCTAGAGAAAATGACACCTACATTCCCAAGAGTTGGGGGGTGTGGATGGTCTTTGGTTATTTGGTGGATTATGGATGTTTGTTATCATTTAGGAGAATATAGTATATTGATACAAATTTAAAGTTACTTTTGTTACATTGCATATATGTTTCTACTATTGTTTAAGGTATTGTTCCTGTGCAGTTCATTTAAAAATATAAGGTAAAATTCTAGTTTTTGAAAGCTATTATTGCCGGGCGGTGGTGGCGCACGCCTTTAATCCCAGCACTCGGGAGGCAGAGCCAGGTGGATC